GTTTCTTACTGAGTAGTATTCCATGTGTCCATTCTCGTTGCTGACACCTGGACACACATTTGAGTGGAATGTTCCTTGGCTTCAAGATGCTTATAAAGTGATAAAACAACTGAGTTGACAGATTGTACTTAGCTTCCTTTTTAGGGATGAGGGGGTCAAAATAATTTAGGTACCTATCCTAATTTACATGCACATCTTTCCTCCACCTAAAGTTAGGAGAAGCTTCCTGGAGTAGGATGAGGAAAGACAGGCAGAGAAAGAGGTCAGAAGAATCCTCCAGTTACCCTCACTGGCATGAAAGGGGAGGGTGAGAGAGGAAGGGAAGAGGGGAGAAACTGCAGCGTGAGACGGGGAAGGAGGGAGGAGGCGGCGGGGTCAGACCCGCAGGAGGACAGAAGGTGCTGGCAAGTCCAAGGTCGACATAAAGATGACGGAGCCTAGCTCTCCAGCACATCGGGGGTTCAGAAGCGCAGGAGCGGCCGTTGCTGTTGCAGCTGCACTGCAGATCTGGGCCTGGGAGGAGAGACTGCAGGCAGCCAGGTCGCTCCAGTGTGTGGCGCAGGAGAGAACCGGTCCACAGCCCAGCCTAGAGACTGTGGGATGGCTCTGCAGAGGGGCTGGCTTGTGAGCTGTGCAGAGAACAGTGGCAGGCAGGAGTGGTGAGGGTGGGGCTGACGTAGCCTCAGCTCAGCTTCTGAAGGCCCCAGCGTTGGGATGAGAGGGGTGCCTTTGCAGAAGGTTAATGACTAACCTGTGTCCACAGGAGACTCAGATATGTGGAATCTGAGAGCTAGAAGAAGCCTGGATCATCTCGTTCCGCCTTGAGCAGAGTGGCAGGGTAGGGTCCTCCAGCTTCCCAGCTGGGGCGCCCCTGTGCTGCTGCTGTGCCTGTGCGATGGGACATCGAGGCAGGACTGGGGTAAAATGACTCCTCAGGGGCTTTTCCAGCCCAGAGATTCTAGAATTCTGGAGACTGCTTTCCGTTGAGACTGCCCAGCTCTCCAGCCCCCCAGCCAGGCTAGGGTAAGGATCGCGGAGGGAGGACTGGGCATCTTGGCAGGACAGTGCTGTGGGGAGCTGGTTCATTCTTCATGGTGGGACTGTGGTGGAGGTGTTCTTGTTTGCCTGCTCGAAGCCCCAAAGGTGGGTTTCTGCCTTTATTTGCCCCAGAGCCACCCCTGGAGCCATCTTCTCAATAAGTCCTTTATGACTGTGGGTAGTGGTAGATGAAGGGGGAGGAGGGTGGTGACCAGCCTGAGATCCCACGTCCTGTTATGTGGCAGGCCTGTGCCTCACTCCTGCCGAATGCCCAGGAGGAGAGGGAGCCCTGAAGAGAAGGTATCGCTTGTCAGACACTGCCCCGCCCCAGTCAGTCCAGACCCAGCTGGGCAAGGCTGCCCTGTGGACCTTTTTTTTTTTTTTTTTTTTTTTTTTTTTAAGATTTACTTATTTATTTGAAAGGCAGAGTTACAGAGGTAGAGATAGAGAGAAAGAGAGAGGTCTTCCATCCGCTGGTTCACCCCCCAGATGGCCACAAAGGCTGGAACTGGGCCAATCTGAAGCCAGGAGCCAGGAGCTTCTTTCAGGTCTCCCATATGGGTTCAGGGGACCAAGGAACTGGGCCATCTTCTACTGGTTCCCCAGGCTATAGCAGAGAGCTGGATCGGAAGTGGAGCAGCCAGGACTCAAACTGACGTCCTTATGGGATGCCGGCACTGCAGGCGGTGGCTTTACCCGCTACACCACAGTGCTGGCCCCTGTGCACCTCTTTTTAATGAATCTTTCTCCACTTTATTTGGAAGGCAGAGAGACAGAGAGTGGCAGAAAGCCGTCTTTGATCCATTGCTTCAGTTCCAAAACACCCACAACAGCCAGGCTACAGCCAGAAGCCTGGAACTTCTACCCAGGTCTCCTATGTAGATAGCAGGGACCCAAGTCCTTGAGCCATCACCTGCTGCCTCCCAGGGTTTACATTAGCAGGTAGCTGGATTAGAAGCAGAGTGGGGATGGCTGGCGCTGTGGCTCACTTGGTTAATCATCAGCCTGTGGCACCGACATCCCATATGGGCACCAGGTTCTAGTCCCGGTTGCTCCTCTTCCAGTCCAGCTCTCTGCTGTGGCCCAGGAGGGCAGTGGAGGATGGCCCAGGTGCTTGGGCCCTGCACCTGCATGGGAGACCAGGAAGAAGCACCTGGCTCCTGGCTTCGGATCGGCGCAGCACCGACCGTGGTGGTCATTTAGGGGGTGAACCAACGGAAGGAAGACCTTTCTGTCTGAATCTCCCTCTCACTGTCTATAACTCTACCTGTCAAATAAATAAATAAAAAGATTGGAAAAAAAAAAAAAGAAGCAGAGGAGGGGCCAGCATTGTCACGTAGCTGGTAAAGCTGTAGCCTGCAGTGCCAGCATCCCATGTGTGCGCCAGCCAGTTCGAGTCCCAGCTGCTCCACTTCCAATCCAGCTCTCTGCTATGGCCTGGAAAAGCAGCGGAAGATGGCCTAAATCCTTGGGCTCCTGCATCCACATGGGAGACCTAGAGGAGGCTCCTGGCTTCTGGCCCCTGGTTTTGGATCGGCACAGCTCCAGCTGTTGTGGCCAGTTGGGGAGTGACCCAGTAGATGGAAGACCTCTCTCTCTGTGTAACTCTGACTTTCAAATAAAGAAATAAATATTAAAAAGAAGAAGAAGAAAAGCAGTGGAGGAGCTGGGACTTGAACCAGGCCCTCTGATGTGCATCATGGGCATCCCCAACTGCAGCCTGAGTGTTGGACTAAATGTCTGCCCCGTATGTCCCTTGACTCCCAGCTTTCTGTCTTCCAACTCCCAGGTACTGTGCAGGGAGCATTTAAAATAAAACATTTAGAGAGAACATCATTTTAGCAAGTAGAAACAGGTCAGAGAGGGAAAGGGGTTCTTGCTAGGCCCACGGGGAGCCAGTAACCAGCCCAGATTTCCATCTCTTTGGAGAATTCTCCAGAATTGCACCATCCAGTTTTGTAACCACTGGCCCCTTTGGGTGTGTTGAGTACTTGAACTGTGGTTAGTCTGAATTGAGATGTGCTCTAAGCGTAAAATACACACCAGGTATTAAAGACTTACTATGGAAGAGAGAATGAAAAACATCCCAGTGTTTTTATATGGATTCTATGTCGAGATGACAGTATTTTGGAGTTACTGCATTACACAAATATATAATTAAAGTCAGTGTCACCTGTTTCTTTGTACCTTTTTTTAGCCTGACTGCTGGAAAGCTACAGATTACCTCTGTGACTTGAGTTATGTTTCTTGTGCACGGTGCTGCTTTAGAGAGAAGATGCATGTGTCTGCCAGGAACCACAGGGCTTGGGGTGCTGGGCAAGGCGAGGCAATGAGCCAGTGCACTGAGCCCTTGATGAATTCCTGGGCCTTGTACCTGGATGGTGTGTGTGGGGTCCCTCCCCGAAATGAGGATCCTGGAAGGCCCTGCTTGGGTGTGGGGGTGGGGAACACAAGGCCTGGCAAGAGGCCATTGCTGGAAGCGCTTCTGTTTAGACCCTGTGTCTGGAACTCGGTGTGTGTGGGGGGTGGCTTCGCTGGAGAGAGAAAAAAATAATTCCATGTGATTCCTGCTTTGGCGGTGTGGCCTGTGTCTGCTTCTTGGTCCCTGCTGGTCAGAACAAGAAAGGCTCCCGACTCCACCCCGACCAGGGTTTTCTCATTCCTGTCCCCGTGTTGGGTGTGATGGGATGTGGGTAGGTTGGCGCCACAGGTGCCTGTGTCTCGGAGCTGGGATTTTCTCTGCATCGCCACAACTTTCTTCCTGAGGCTATATTTAGGTGTTGGGAGAGGGAAAAGGATGTGAGTTTTTCAGGATCCTGTTTATCCAGCAGACCCCGCCCCGCCCCCACCTCACAGCTGCCTGTCCTGTGTTCAGTCTGGAGCTTCCCCTTCCTTCCCTCCCTGCCCCACTCCGGGCACCCAGGGCCTAGACAGAGCACAGACTTTGCCACCGAAGCTCCGCATTGCCACTGGGCAGCTGGGTGGCCACGGACATGAAGTCTGTTTTCTGAGCCCTGTGTTTCTTGCTTAGAAAATGGAGAGAATTGGGGCCGGCACTGTGGCATAGCGGGTAAAGCCCTGGCCTGCAGTGCCGGCATCCCATAAGGGCGCCGGTTCTAGTCCCGGCTGCTCCTTTTCCGATCCAGCCTTCTGCTGTGGCCTGGGAAAGCAGTGGAAGATGGCCTGAGTCCTTGGCCCCTGCACTCATGTGGGAGACCCGGAAGAAGATCCTGGCCCCTGGCTTTGGATTGGCAAAGCTCTGGCTGTCTCCAGCCATCTGGGGAGTGAGCCAGTGGATGGAAGACGTCTTTCTCTCTCTCTCTCTCTCTCTCTCTCTCTCTCTCTCTTTCTCTCTCTGCCTCTCTGTAACTCTGTCTTTCAAATAAAATAAATAAATCTTAAAAAAAAACAATGGAGAGAATGGTCCTGCCTTGCATGGAGCCTGTGAGGGTCAAATGAGAGCTGTGTGTTCAGTGCCTGGCCTGGGCACTGAGTAAGTGCGGGTTCCTTTGAGGTCTTGTTAGGCAGCGGCTGAGGATGCTGCCCGAGGATTACAGGCTTAGCAGGGTGCCCCAGAGCATGTGGTGTCTGTTGCTTCGAGACTGTGGCCGTGGTGGGTGGGTGTGGTGCTGCCTTCTCCCTTCACATCTGAACCTTCAGTCGGGTCCCAGGTTGATGTGACGCATCCTCTTGCCAGGAGGCCAGGGGTCTTGAGGCACACCCGAGCCGTGGTCTCTCGGAGCTTAAAGGCGAAGTCAGGCTTGGAAGTCTGGACTTTTACCACTGTGTCCAAACCTCGAGATTCCTTCGTTTGTGAAGTGGGATGATATCAGTACCCACCTGTGGAAATGCTGTGGGGATTTAGTTAGCTGAGCTTTTGTTGTGTGACACTTGCACTCCGGACTGGAGACACAGGCAGTGACTGCTCAAATAACCTTGCTCTGTGTGTGTTTCTGTTGCAGCAGCGAGGTGGGGTACACAGGCCCTGTGGCAAGCACCCATATAGTCCTCCGGGGTGCCACCCCTAAAACAGCACCCTCACCATGTTTAATCTAATGAAGAAAGACAAGGACAAAGATGGCGGGCGGAAGGAGAAGAAAGAGAAGAAGGAGAAGAAGGAGCGCATGTCGGCGGCAGAGCTGCGGAGCCTGGAGGAGATGAGCCTGCGCCGCGGCTTCTTCAACCTGAACCGCTCCTCCAAGCGCGAATCCAGGACGCGCCTGGAGATCTCCAACCCCATCCCCATCAAGGTGGCCAGTGGCTCCGACCTGCACCTCACCGACATCGACTCGGACAGCAACCGGGGCAGCGTCATCCTGGACTCAGGCCACCTGAGCACAGCCAGCTCGAGCGATGACCTCAAGGGGGAGGAAGGCAGCTTCCGGGGCTCTGTGCTGCAGCGGGCGGCCAAGTTCGGCTCGCTGGCCAAGCAGAACTCACAGATGATTGTCAAGCGCTTCTCCTTCTCCCAGCGTAGCCGGGACGAGAGCGCCTCAGAAACCTCCACCCCCTCCGAGCACTCGGCCGCCCCTTCGCCGCAGGTGGAGGCAAGGACGATAGAGGGACAGCTGGTGCAGTACCCGGGCCCAGGCATCCCTCGCCCGGGGCCCCGGACGCGCGTCCCTGAGCTGGTGACTAAAAGGTTCCCAGCCGACCTGCGCCTGCCGCCCGTGGTGCCCCCGCCCGCCCCTGCCCTGCGGGAGCTGGAGCTGCAGCGCAGGCCCACCGGGGACTTCGGCTTCTCGCTGCGCCGCACCACCATGCTGGATCGCGGCCCCGAGGGCCAGGCCTACCGGCGCGTGGTTCACTTCGCTGAGCCCGGTGCGGGCACCAAGGACCTGGCCCTGGGGCTGGTGCCAGGAGATCGGCTGGTGGAGATTAACGGGCACAACGTGGAGAGCAAGTCCAGGGATGAGATTGTGGAGATGATCCGGCAGTCCGGGGACAGCGTGCGGCTCAAGGTGCAGCCCATCCCGGAGCTCAGTGAGCTGAGCCGGAGCTGGCTGCAGAGCGGCGAGGGAGCCCGCAGGGAGCCAGCCGATGTGAGTGTTGCCCTGGGCACCGGGGGTGAGTGGGGGTCAGGAGCGCTGGCAAGTGCCGCTGTGGTACTTAGAGGGTGCTGCGGTCGGAGCCTGGCAGGTGGAGAGCAGGGTGGGGATGCTGTACCGATCCTGGGGCTGTGCCAAGGAGCGAGGAGCGTATCACTCTGCCTTGCTGAGGGACAGGTCCCCCAGAGTCCCCTAAAAGCTCACTGTCCAGTGGAGTTCTCACCGCCCAACCGGGCCCGTGGTTTGCTGTTGGCTTTCTGTGTTGTGGGTGTCAGGGTGACTTGGTGGATGGAAGCAGGCGTGATGTTTTTCTCCAGCGTCCGGGGCGAGGCCAGCTTCTGGCTGGACTTCAGCTGTACCTGGGAGCCTTCTGGAGGAGTCTGACGCGGGCTGGCGATTGTGGGCAGAATGTTCAGCTTCGTGATACCGAGAGCAGAGTGGTGGGCTCAGGCACTGTGTTTCCTAACCCTGAATGGGGCTATGTAGGCTAACATGTGCCGCTTCTGGCCACAAGGGACACTCTGGACACCAGAATACAGGACTGCCATGTTGTTCAAGTCTTGGAGGTGAAAAAAAGGGCACACGATTTCAAATCAGGGCTGTCACAAGCGTCTGGGACGCCCAGGGAGACGGCTCCCTCGTGAGTGAGGTCGTAGAGATGGCAGGGGCCGACCATGGAGGGCCGTGGACATCGTGGTTGCCGTTTAGACTTTATTCCAGGGACATGACACCCCTGGAGGGTTTGGCGCAGTGGAGTGTCTGTTCCCGATAAAGGAAAAAGTGCTTGGCTCCTAGCATCCGAATTACAGCTCCCAAAGCAGAGAAGCAGAGCCCTGGGAAAGAACAGGGACCAAGTCCACAGGCACAGCGTGACCATTCCTGAGACGCCACCTAGTACCCTGCCCACACAAAACAGTGGTGCAAGGCGGAGAAGCAGGGCCTCTCGGCTAAACTGCCCGTTGAAACACACACATCCAATTTCAAATGCAAGTATCATCTCTGCTCCTGATTCTGGCTTCCCGCTAATGCAGACCCCAGGAAGCAGCAGGTGATGGCTCGGGGAGTTGGGTCCCTGTCACCCACGTGGGAGACCTGGGTTGAGTTCCTGGCGCCCAGCTTTGATCTGGCCCGATGCAGTCTGCTGCAGGCATTTCGGGGTGTGAACCAGTGGTCGGGAGCTCTTTCTCTCTGCCTCTCGATAACTAAATACATACATTTTTCGAAAGCTTTTTTGATTTCAGTTTGGAATGTCCTGCCTGTGATAGTGCAGGAAGGACGAGCTGACCTCTCTGGCCATCCCTTCCTCCTAGCTGTGGACTTTAGACCTGCAGCCTGACTGGGACACAGCCTGGCTAAGATTTCTCGGCACTAAATGACCGGCCAGATGTGTCAAAGCCAGAAACGAAAGGAAGTGCAGAGGAAGCAGGCAGAGTCCGGTCCCAGCTTTCTCCCACGGAGGGGGAAGTGGGTGCAAGGATGGCCACTCACCCTAGCGGCATGTGGGGCCTCGGGGACTGGGAGTGGCAGGAAGCGCAGGTTTGGGCTCCAGGCCTTCCTTGACCATGAGGCTAGTTGGGGTTAGGAAGCTTTGCAGGTCAGGGAGTGGTTGTGAGTGGGAGGGAGCTGACATGGAATCCAGGAAAGGACCTGAATTCATTCATTCCAGAAACACATGTGGAGGGGCCGGCACTGTGGCTCACTTGGTTAATCCTCCACCTGCGGCGCCAGCATCCCATATGGGCGCCGGGTTCTAGTCCTGGTTGCTCCTCTTCCAGTCCAGCTCTCTGCTGTGGCTCGAGAAGGCAGTGGAGGATGGCCCAAGTGCTTGGGCCCTGCACCCACATGGGGGACCAGGAGGAAGCACCTGGCTCCTGGCTTCAGATTGGCACAGTGTGCCAGCGGTAGCAGCCATTTGGGGGGTGAACCAACGGAAGGAAGACCTTTCTCTATGTCTCTCTCTGTATAACTCTGTCAAAACCAAACCAAACCAAAACAAAAAAATTTGAAAAAAATTTTTTAAAAAAGAAACATGTGTGGAGCACCTACTGTGGGTTGGCCACCAGGCTAGGCTGAACCCAGGAGCCATGACTTGGCAGGGGGTGTAGGAGGAAGGAGCTGGGAGGGCAGGTAGGGGAGGTCTTTATCTCAGAACCAGAGATCCTAACCTGTCGCCATGGCTGTCTGCTTTCTCCCAGGCTGGCATTGCTTTTCACAGTTGGAATTTTCTTTGTAAAGAATGATTCCCCTGGGGAGCTTAGTGCCGCTTCCCTGCTGAGCCGCAGCGAGGTCTCTGTGGGGCCTGGCATCCCAGCTGCTGTTGGCGCTTCCTCATTTCAGCCCTGATATCTCACATTTCCTTTCCCAGCTCAGGGCTGGAGAGGTGGGTGGTGGGCTGTAGAGGCCTGGTAGGTTCCCTGTAACACCTGCTACCTGACATGCTGGCTCACTCTGGCCCCCAGGGGACAGGGTCAGCTGGTGCCCAGAGGACTTCTTCCCCAGGTATCAGCCTGGAGATCCTGCAGGGAACACAGTAGAAAACTCCATGCCCCTGCTTTTCCTAGAGCCATCTAGTGGGACAAGAGGCACAGGCTGAGAACAGCCCTGCATCGCCCCCGCCCCCAGGGTAGATGGTGGGCGGGGACTCGTGCCACCAGCAGAGGGGGCAGGGTGAGCCCAGATTCTCCAGCTTCCTGGGCCAGGTCCCGGGAGTTGGCGTGGGAGTGCTGCAGCCGGCTCTGCGGCCCTCAGCCTCCGTCTCCTCCTCTTCCTCGCACTCCTACTCCTGCTTCTTTTCTTGGCTTCACTTCTGCTCCCAGTTCTGGACCAAGACAAGTGTCTTTCTGCCTCCTCCAGGCTGCTGGGCACGGTCCCCTGTTGACAGTAGCTCCACAGGGACAGCTCCTGGCGGCCACCCTGACCGTCAGGCCATCCATCAACTGTGTCCACACACTGCTTGTCCCCAGGGAGCTCCATAGGACTGACTAGCCATCTGTTCTCTTCCTGCACACGGATGGGGGCCAGGGCCTCTGGCTTCCCTCCATGGCCGGCTCAGAAGGCCCGAGGGAGAGACAGCCCTCGGGTTTCCCTCTCACGTGGTGTGGGTCCAGAATGTGGGGCTTGCGCCTCCTTTCTGTGTCCCTGTAGCTGCCGGACGAGGCTACGTCAGGAGTAGGGGTGAGCCACAGCGGTTGGATAGACGGGCCTGGCAGGACCTCCAGCAGGCTTGAGAGAAGCATCTCTTTTTTTCTGCCAGTCACCCTTGCAGCCACCTCCCTGTGATGCAAGCACTTGCTGTGCACCTGCTGTGTGCCAGGTCCTAGGGTCTGGCAATGCGCAGTGCATCATCCTGGCCCCCAAGGAACTCGGAGTTGGGGGAGAGGTGGTCAAGTAGCAGGCAACAACAGTGCATTTGAGCAACTCAGTGGCGGGGCCAGTCCAGGGCTCCAGGCGACACAGAAGAGGGGCTTCCAGGAAGGGGTGGGCCAGCGAAAGCTGACAACTGGGTAGGAGACGAGTGGCTGGGAGGCAGGAGGAAGGGAAAGCTTCTAAGAGACACAGGCCTAGAGGCTGGAGAGAGAAGGGCACATTAGTGGCACAGTAAGTTGGGCAGCTTGCTACACTTGGGTTCCCTATCATGTACTTTTTCCAGTTGGGACTGGAAACTGCTCCGCTTCCAATCTAGCTTCCTGCTAATGCACCTGGGAAGGCAGTGGAGGACGGCCCAAGTACCTGGGCCTTTGACATCTGTGTGGGAGACCCAGGTGGAGTTCTTGGGTTCTGGCTTTTGCCTAGCCCAGACCTAGCTTTTGTGGCTGTTTGGAGAATGAACTAGAAGTAGGAAGATTCTCTCTCTCTCTCTCTCGCTCACTCTCTCTCTCTCTCTCTCTGTGTGTGTGTGTGTGTGTGTGTCTTTCCCTCTCTTTCAAATAAATATTTAAAGTGGGGGGAGGCGATGCAGGGGCCAGGCCACTCAGGCAGTGGGAACTTGGACTAAGGGCAAGGAATCCCTTGAATCTGGGAATGACTGAAACAGATCATAGAAATCTCTCTGGCCGCTTATGGAGAGTGCTTTAGGGTACAGCAAGGGTAGCTATGGGGAGAGGAGCAAGGTGGCTTGTGCCAGGACTCGGATGGAGGCCTGAACTTGGTAGAATCCGTGAGCCTGGAGTCCCGGAGCTGGCTGACTGGTGTGGGAGCCGAGGGAGAGGAGGGACCCAGCGTGGCTGCCAGGCTTGGGGGAGAGGCTTTGTTCTTCCCTTTTTTTTGGTGGTGGTAGGGGGATTCTGTATTTGGATCAGTTGCTAAAGGTCCAGGGTTTCCTGAGTCTGAGGAAGAGAGGGAGGTGTTGGTGAAGACCAGGATCTGAAAACGCTGGCTGGGTCCAAGATACTCCCCACCCCCGGCTCTAGGAGGCGGGCTGGGCGGGTTGAGGCCCGGTGCGGAGGTCCCCGTGGCTGCGATCACAGGAGTCTGAACAGGTACCGGTGTGGGGCAGGAAGGAGGCGCACAATGGGCTAGGAGGGAGGAAGCGGCCCGTAATGCCTCAGGGGCGGGGAGGCAGGAGGAGGCTCCTCGGGAGGTGACCCTGGGCTCTGCCAAGTGGACCTGTTTCCTCCCTGAGCTGGAGAAGGATTCATCCCGGCCCACACCAGTTATCTCTGGGGCTCAGTGGGGACTTGGTTTTATCCTGTGTGCTGTGCTTTGTGGCTCTTTACACACAACACATGTGTGTGTGGTGAGCTCTCCAAGACCTTGGCAGGCCTAAGTGTTCAGGCTCACTGGTTCCCTTCCCTCTGCCCTGTCGCTAAAGCCAGCTGGGCAGGTGATTTTGCAAATGTCCCCTGTTCTGGGTCCTGCCCGGGGTGTGTCTGGTGGGACCTCCTGCTGCTTCGGTGGCTCTGTGCTTAAGGACCACAGCTGAGGGAAGAAGAGGTGGACGCTGCGTCCCCATCCTCGCCAGCTTTTCAGAGCCCAGCTTCTCAAGCTGCCGGTCT